AACACCTCAGATACTAATATATATACTATATATAGATAGATAGAGAGAGAGATATTTATCTAGATAACACTAAGAAGTATCTCCAAATAGAATGCAAAATGTGTTTTTTATACAAATGCAGGAAATTCGATTGCATTCCGATTAATTCGGTTATTTGATGTAATAACGTGCGAGATTTAGGCTTGAAGTATATAAAATGTAGCTAAAAAAGGACAAAAGGAACATGTTTCTAGGCATCCTTTTTACAAGTTTTAAACCAAGAATACCAACAATTTCTATTGACTTAAAAGTAATTAAAGTAAAGATATTTTTATATTACTATACATCATTAACTAATTGGATGTTAACTGCAAATTTATGAATCAAAATTTTAGCTTCTCAATGTTAACTGAATTTGTTATATATTTATTAATATCTCTTTTTCTATTAAACTTACTTGATTTTTCCTTTGATATTTCGAAATTTAGGTTCATTCCAAATAAAATTCGTTCTTTTTTTATAAATTATTTTTAAACTTTGTATTTTTAAATAATTTTTATAAATTTTTCGAAACAATTTTCAATAATAAGCTATGCAACTTTTACCATCATCTTAAAGCAGATGTATTTCTAAACATACCTACAAAAATTATAGTTTTTTATTCAAAATTTCAGAAGATATCCGTGAATTTATATACGTTGGCTCGTTTTGAAATTTGGCATATTTGTTGAAAGTGATAAAACATCAAATGTGGTTTAAGCACTTTGTTAAAATTGTTTGAAAGTAGAAACGGTGTAACTTTTTTTGCTCTCATGCACAATGAAAAAAGTTATAACACCGTGATTTTTTTTCGCTAATGCAGAATGGAAGAGAAAAGAAATTAGGTAGCCATATATTAAGAAGTTCGCCAAGTAAATTATTCTTGGCGCAAACTGAAAAAATTGCGCCAAGTTATATTTTTAAATTTCTCTATAAATTTCGAACAAAATTTAATAGTTAGGCATAATTTGATTCGTGGAATGGAAATATGAAAAAAATTAGTATGTTATTTAAAAAAAAAGATCTCATTTTGTGTCAAAATAACAATGTTAGAACAATGCTATATATAAATCCAATATATATCCTAAGTCGCGCTTTCGAGACATGAAAAAGCAATTTGAATTTCGTCGATCGGCCCAGTAGAACGGGAGATATAGAACTGGCCCATATTTTTTTTTTCGCAGTGTACAACATATAATATATATATATATATATATATATATATGACTATTGGATTTGCTTTCGGGAAAAGATGTAGTTGTTGGAGAGTAAAATGCTAGTAAGCGCCTTTCGACAATCTTTGGTTGACAAAGGCAAAATTATCTTGTCGTCGATAGGAGCGCTGGAACAATTTACGATAAATTTGGACTTAGACTGTTAGTGCTTTAGTGATTATCAAGTAAACTGCCTGACCTGCGCAACGAAAACTGGCAGTTGAATTTTTTTGTGATCCCGCATAAAGTCTTATAAGGCTGTTTCTAAAAGATTCGCATTTCATAAATTCAGAAACAGGATTAAATTTCATGTATGGCTGTTGCTCATCAAATCTTGAAAAACACAATTCAGACAACTTGCAATAATTACAGAACATGCTGTCCGATTTCTTTAAACTTGTCTGAAACACGAGTATAAACGCACATTACATGCCACTATTACAGAATTTGGTCAGCTCTTTCCTACCCCCCCCCACACCACAAAAAACTAAACGTTAAGAATTGAAGTGAAAATCAAGGAGAACAATTTCAAAAGGTCATTAAATCTATCAAAGATACATGTCAAAATATCTCAGATGCCCATTTCATGTCACATTACTGCTCATGCCTTTCCTGATGCCTCAGCGATTCTAATTGCTAATATTCAGGTCAATTAGAAATGCTCTAAATTTCACTCTGCGAAAAGATAGATCAATCTGTGAAGACATATAAAAGATTCTTAGGATATGTAGAGACAATAGTTTAATTGGAAAGCCGAAGAGATGAAAAATTAGCAACCGCGTTCGCCGGGAATCGAACCACGGATCTCTGGAATACCGGCCCAGCGTGCAGAGCGACTACACCACGAAGGCACACTAGGATTTTGGTTTTGGTTTATTAGATTACGGCAAAGCACTCGAGGGCTATCTGCCTTAACCCATTAACCGCCAAAACTACAAGGAATGTTTCTTTTCTCATGAAAACAATAACAAATATTAAATTGAGCATTTATAACATAAATTTAGATTGAAAATTAAAAAATTACATTGAAAATTAAAAAAAGGCTCTTACCTGTGGGAAAAGCGAGTGTTGCGTTCGCGCAACGTCAGCGGAATAAGACTACGGATGTTTAGTGAGTAGGATTGTACTCGTGTAATGTTTCGAGTGGAGCGCAGGATTACTTTTTAGCTGTATAACGTTTTATAAATCTACAAATAATTTTACTTGTAATTAATTTAATATTAAAATATACATTGTATTTCTTTTACAAATACAGATTATTTCATTTGAAAAATTCAAGCATGAAGAGCTTCATTACTATCATGATGTAAAGTTACATTACATACTTTGCATCTATAAACAGTCTGCTTATGGCACCTTTACAACGAAATCTTTTGTTATCAACGGACTTTACGATAAAATGTCTACTATCTCCATGCAATGGTTTCTGAATGCTGAATTTACTAGGTTTTCCTGTTGCTGATCTATTTCTGGCTAATTCTACACTCTCAATCGGAGTTTGCAAAAGGAATAATGCATTCTCGCGTCTGAAATCTAAAAGAGACTTTATATTTTCAGTAGTAAAAAGTGGTGATATTTAGTAAGTTTAGATACGGTCTCACCTCATATAATTTATCAGTATTGTCAAATGCAAATTCTGCTTCATATTCCTGTACTGCAAAGGTGATATCAATTCTCGTACAACAGGAACAGAAATGTCCTTATCAAAAGACCAATACATTTTTTCTTGAGGTAAAGAATGTTATTCTGTAAGCAATAATTAATATTCCAATAAATCTTCTCATATAAGCTTTAGATGCAATAAATTCTGGGCAATTTTTTTTTCTTTTGAGCGTATATATTTGTCTGTTCAACGAGAAGAGAGTAAATGTCTAAACAAAAAAAAAAAAAAAAAAATCGAAAAATCTGTGCACTAATTTTACCTTGTGTTTTGTCTTTTATAATTTCGCTTTTATCTCTTTCTTCATGTTTTTCCTGAGACATAACTAACAGTTTCTTTTTTATCCACTTCAAGATTTCAGTCTTCTGCTTTTTAAACGTTTTAGTATGACTATAACTGCTTTTAGAAGGCTGAAACTTACTTCTTACGTGAATTTCAACTTCCCCAGCAGTATCCTTTGGTAAAATATCATTATCATTATTTAAAGCATTGCCATTCCTTTCTTCTTCGTCACTAGCCTCTGCAATTTCTTGAGGATCAACAACAATATCAGTTTCATTCTGGTCATTATTAACATTATCATCATCTGTTTTTCATCAAAAATTTGAAGGGCTTCTTCTAATGTAAGATACCTGTTCTAGGCAGTTTTAAAACAACCAGACCATCGAAAGGAATGAGAGAAAAAGGATTGACTACCCGTTTCTGCTGAAGTTGCGTCAAGCAACACCTGTTTCCCCTTCCTTCCCAACACAATATAAACATCTGACTGATGTAATGTTCTGATAAACGGTGACCTTGACTACAAATATATCACTCATAAAGACGGCGATTCTTTCGTTAATATTTCAGCAAAAATACCAGGTCGAAAATTTTGCTTAAAGTATGAGATTAATTATTATAAACAAAATGATTGTTGAAGGCAAATATTTTTTACAAAAATAATCTTCATAATATTCCCTACACAAAATCATCTGCTGGTATAAAATATCTTAGGTAGTTAGATTTATATACGCATTTATTTTGACCGTTGCGTCAACGCAACACCAGCGGCTAATGGGTTAAGGAAGGGATGCCTTCGTGGAGGACTTTTTAAGGGAACTGGCTTGTATGCACGTTACACATGGGGAAAACCACGAAAACACAAATGCAGATAGCCCGTTCGCGGGATTCGAACCTCGGACCGAACTACCAGGTTTCAGCGACGTTACCGCTCGGCCGCTGGCGGGCCGGCACACTAGGGAGACGGGAGAAATACCTTATAGATAAATAGCATTTTTATATGTCTTCACAGAAATAGTTTCATACATTTTTTTTAATTTGTAAATGTTTTATAATGTAAAATAGTTTTATATTTATTTAAATTTAAATGTACTAACATTTTTATCTCAACAATGATACTATTATTTTATTCTAAGTAATATGTGATATGAAATTAAATTTTTAATTTAACTCATGTTTGATATAATTACAGTGCAAAATTCTTAATTACTTAAGTCTTGTTATTCACGGAGCTCTAATATTGTGTGCAGTTTAGTAAATACTAATACACACATGCTTTAATATAATTAATATATACCAGTAATATCAGTGTTCATAATTTGTTGGATGTATATTCAAGTCAGTGTTTCGAAAGATTCCTGTACTACCTGACAGAACAACATTCATAAGAGTCCTGAGATCAGCACAACAAATACATTAAAATTATTTGTGACCTTTAAGTCTTCAATATGTATGTTCATCAGCATCAGTCGTTTTCGGCGGTTTGTGAAATAATTGCGTAACTATATGGCATTGTTTAAAAAAAAAACATTTCTGAAAATACAAGACTTGTGGCATTTCATTTTCTCATGATGTAAATTTAATCTTTAAGCTTTTTGAGTAAATTTAAATTTTAGAAATTTCTGAAATTTACATTAATTGAATATTATATATAGAGGGGAAAGAGAGTTAAGTAGGTGGATACATATATAAATGGAAATTACTGATCCTTGTTAAATATCTGTGCTGGCAGAAAAGTTGCATTTATAAGTTTGGTGATATTTTGTAAATTATAATAATGATTTGATATTTACTCTGATGTTTATTCTAATATTCCAATACTATTGCAGATTTTCCATACGGGATATAGCAGATTCACGACAAACAATGTCAGAATTTTACATTCTGAAAACACATCGTAATGATTCTGGAATATACAGTTGTTCTGCTGTAAGTGACATCGGAACAGATGAAGCTACCATACAATATATCGTCCAAGGTGAAGTACTGCTTAAAATATTTCACGTTCCCAGTGCCTTATAAAAGACTGTCTTTCGATTATTTTAAATGTAATAATTTTTCCATTATACATAATTCATCTTCCAGTTAGAAGATAAACACATTGATATAGAATTTAAAACTAGAGGGAAACAAAAACAAAACTTAAGATTAGTACAAATTTTGAATAAAAACTGTATAGATTGTGAGAGCATTTAGATAAAGGTTCCTTTTCTTGAGCAGCAAAATACATTTGCAGTGCAAAACGAGTAACAACATATTTATAATGAAATCGTACGCAGAGAAATGCAAAACAAAAATCGAATCGAGGACTATAATCGTGAAACATTAATATCTCAGCCGCTCAACCGGACAGTGGTTAGAGACGCTGATTGTCGTACCGAAGCTTCCCAGTTCGAATCACAGAGAAAGCATGGATGTTTGCAAATGAATAGTTTATGTGTAGCATGGGAGACACACTAAATATGCGGTGAGCTGAAAGTCATCTCGCGAAGTTGCTGGTAGGGGAAGAGGATTGTGAGACTCTCAAACCCGTCCTCAGAACTGAGTAAAGTCGTACTGTCACCTGTATGGTGCTCAAGGCTGTTGCCAACGACTGTCGTAATCTTGCACTCCTTGTCACGACGAATTTCGCGGGCTTGTTCTGATGTTACTTTCAGACAAGTGAGATAAGTCATAACAACAATACCTCAACCTCCTTTTAAAGCTTTCAGTATTTTAACAGCTTTATTCCTTCATAGTTAGTTCATGACTGTTTTTCTCGACAGATCAATTTCAAGTGAGTTCGCTGTTTGATTTCTATAGAGATGTGGTTATCGCTTCTCCTTTTTTTTTTTCAATTATTTTGTTCCTAAAACTATATCAAACTCTGCATCGATCATATTAGAAATCAACAGAGCTTTGTTTAAGAATAGCGCTACGTTTTACCTGATTTTTCATTTCTCTTCCAGTCTGTAAGGCCTTTATCTTTCTAACAATTTTCATAAAAACTCTTTCACTGGAATTATCGTAATTAATTTCTGTGAAACTGTTGAGCCATTAGGTTTTTTGATGCTGGAGACGTGAAAAGTGAACAATTCTCTAGCCGGGATTCCAACCTGGACCTCTCAAATACTCGCCGAGTGTGCTACCATTACACCACGAAGGCATGCTGGGATGAGGGAGAAAGTACGTTATGAAACTATATAAGATGTACTGCTGTAGGAAGAACCAAGCCTGTAGAAGGCTTTGAAAAGGAATCAATCAAGTCACTCATATGCCTGATACATGGACATAATATACGTTACCCTCCTAAATTCTTCTAATAATTAATTGTGTATATAGCGTTCTTTATTTAATATACCCGAATGATTACTAAATAAAATTAGTGAAATTCTAAATTACGAAATTAGTGAAAAATTGATCTTTCATATCATTTTTACGGAACATAATATTTTACATTTTAATATACCGTTATGGTAAAGGGATAGTGCCCCCTTTCTCCGTTCCTTACCTTTATATTTTAATACAGTTTTTTTATTGCTATAATGTTTGATCTTCATGTTTTTCTTTACAAATCCTATGAAGATAACATAAACTTTACATTTATTTTAAACCAGGAAGTTGATATTAAATCTTGGTTGTATTAACAACAGTCAAACTTTTATTATGTATGTTAAACTTAACATTGTGCTATTTTAAGTTTGATGAATATGACATACATGTTGGTTGCGGTTAGTATATTACGTATATTAAACTTAGCGCTCTGCTATTGTTAATGAATATATTATTAAGCTTTAGTTTTAATCATGGAAATAAAAGATGAAATGAAGCATGAAAACATTTTAGCTTTTCTTGTTATTTCGAGTACTCCTTTTTATATTAAATTACTCAATTTCATTTGGTTATTTCATATTAGAAATAATCTTTACTGTAAAATATAATTATATATAAAAATAACGTAATGAAATGCAAAATTAAAATGCTTATTAATTTTATATTGATGAAGCAAAACATAAATCTTGGGCTTCACAAATTAAGAATAGAAGACATAATTAGGAACAGAACCATGAAGCAAGGGACTGCCAGGGCATATATACGGTAAAAATTAAAATTTAAAAGCAGTGGAAAACGTTCTGCGTATCCCAAGAAGTAAGGGACCCAATTTGTCTAAAATAATTCTATCAAATATGTTCTTTCTTTCTATTTTCATGTTCCACTGACTTTATTTTTGTTGTGTTTTTAAACTTTGCAGTATAGTACGTAAGTTGTACGTAACTATAGTACGTGAGTTGTAACATAATGGTACATATACTATTATAGACATTCTGATGAAAATTTAAAAAAAAATTCATATTGTATGCTTATATGTCTTAAAGAATCCTTAGTAAATAAAGCTAAGCAAATCTATACCGAATAACGTAATGTATCTTTAATATAAATTTTCTGTAGGAACATGTATTCTAAGAGACAGTAGATGATATGATTTAATGAGACTTTATTATTAATAAGTGATGTTAATTTTTCTGTAAAGAAAAATACTAATTATAAGTTTTTTCTCAAAGCTATGCATTAGAATTTGCCTTTTTATTCTAAATATGTGTAGGTACTGCGTATATTGATTAGCATTAGAATAAAAAAATTATGGACTTTTTAATAATATGGTTTCTTATATTATTATTGCTATAATTATTCCTTTGCAGGTCGACCTGATCCTCCGTCGAATATTAGCGTCGTCAATGTTACTAGCCGTTCTGTCACTCTACAGTGGGAGGTCACACATGATGGTAATAGCCACGTAACTGGAAGCGTTGTGCAATACCAAACAATATCTGGTAAATCAATTAAATAATCAGAATTTTAAAATCATTAAGCGATGTAACGTAGTATTGCTTAACATGAGTGATAAATTAGACTTAAGAAAAATAAAGAATAATTTCATTAGCAATAAAAAAAGATATACAGCTTTGATTTAATGTATTATGTATGTTGAGTAAAAAAGAGGTTTATACTTAACTAATAATAAATGACATTACAACACTTAAACCGCAAAGTAAATTTTTTTAATCAAATTGATTAATGCAAATACAAATTAAAACCTTAAAAAAGTAAAGCAAAATCTGAAAGCTTTCATATTTTACATTACGCCCAAAGGGACTTTTTCAATTCATATACATTTCAAAACTCATAAGTTTCAAAAACGTTCGGGGTAATGTCTCTTTGCGCTCTAAATATTTAAAAACCACATATCTTTAGAATTTCCAATAGACCCGCTGGATATATATTTTTTTTATATTTTTCGCACGGTGCTGCCATTGCTGGTTTCGAAATCGTTGAGTTTGTTAATCAAAAATTATACTAGGTGCCCATATTCGAGTTTGATTTTTTGTTATTTAATTTCTTTAAATATAATACAAGGCGATAATATTTGGTAAACAACAGTACGAAAAAGGAAACGGACTTTTATAATGAACCGTCGCAAAATACCATTTCGAGATTTATAGCCTGAGTAACGCCCCTTTGGGCTAATTAAATAAATAAAATATACAATTATAATAATGCATATTTTACTATGTAAGTAATAACAACCACTGTTAATGAATGACAGATTTTATTATTGTTTTTGAGTTCAGATAATTCCAATGACACTTAGAGCTTAGAGTTTCAGTGAGGCTTAGAGCTGTATCCGAACATGATACAGAGACTTAGCCTGATAAAACCAAAATCATTACCTTAAATCACATTTTTTGCATATATTATTAAAGAATAAACGTTTTTTACATGACACTTACGGACTCAGCCCTGGACTTAAAGTTGCAAGGATTGAACACATGCAGGATTTGCACACATATTTAATCATCAGTGTTCAGCGGTCCTAGGCACTTATACAGTTGCGGAGCCCTCAACAGTGTTTATCTAAACAATTCCTATATTTTCTGACCTTGAACGACTTATAAATTGATGTAATTCAATGCAGCTTCTAATGCTATGCAAATTCTATGCAGAAATGTCACAAATAGTAGAATATAAAGAAAAATATGAGCAAAATTTTATAACACATATGTATTCGTGTGTGAAAAAGCCGTTACAGAAATAAAAAAAAGCAAAATGCGGAATGCTGAATATCAACAACTTTACTTCTTAAACCAATAACTGAATGATTTGCTATTGATGTGTTGGCAAGAGATTACAATGCATCTAAACCTCTACTAAATGTTTCTAGACTTAGAGGTACATTTATAGCAGCGTCATATTTGTATCCTTTGCTTGTATAACATAAACAATACAGTGTGGCAGCTTGGGGCAATTCGATTTAAGTATTCCAAACCAAACGTACTGAATACACCATTATTATGAATTAATTTAAAATTTAAGAACCTCAGCCAAGTAAAAATATCTCTGACAATGATTTATAGAACAAAGTTGTTTTACTTTTAACAACATGGAACAATATACGTTGCTAACTCTGAAATTTTTTAGATAGCCGTAGACAATATGCGTTAAAAGAAACTTCGGCGGACGTTAATTCTGTGGCAACAATCTCAATTTATGAATCGCAGAATAAATTTTGAAAGAAAGGATAATGAAGCTCTTGCAAGAACATTATTTCTTTGCGATTTTATGATTTTAAAGAAGGGTTAAATTAAGAAGACTGCCTTTAACGTCTACAATTTAGTACGTCTAAATGACGCTTCATCTCGTGCTAATGTATTTAGGTGGTTTACAGAATTCCATATTGATTGAAATTCTTTCTTGTGTGACGAATATGCCGAAAGACCTTCAGCCATATGAAAAATGCTAATCAATGATAATGGCTGTACTAATCAAATTAGTAGAAGGAACGTAACATTTGATCCGCAGCTATACAGAAAATTATTCACGAAAAACTGCATAAGAGACAATTAGTATATCCTTGGATCCACCTTAAATTATCAAAACACCCAAACTTTGATAGTGTGATCAGTAGAGAAGTTCTGAAATTACTTAAGAATGGTGGACAAGAAGGTATTATTTCTAAAAGCATAACTGGAAATGAAACATATAATGTTTCTTCACTTTCCAACACGTTAAGAAAAGGTCTTTGAAGATGATCTCAAATTAACAAAGGTGAAAAGACAATGAGCAATGTTAAAAATAATGTATCTCCATACCGACAGAAGTACAGGTCTAGTCAAAGTCATCAAGTTTAGTAGCTTAGAAAACAGTTACCATAAACATGTTTACCGCCAAGTGTTTTCCAGAAATTCTTAAAGAATCCAACATTAGGGAAATCGAGCTCCCCCGTGATAAGGCATCTTCTCATTCGACTAGATTCACAGTTGAATTTCTCGGACAAAAACTCATCCACCCTATTATCCTGATTTTGCAATGTGTGACATTTGGCTATTTTTTAATTTAAAACAAAATAGACATTGTCGTAGTTTTGATTCCGAAGATGAGATATGTTATAAAAGCATATTTAAATATATATATATATATAATATATATATATATATATATATATATTATTAAGTTATAAAAGCATAATTTTCATTCCTTCTAAGAAATGGAGGGCTTCAAGTATTTATTATTTGAAAAATTCGCCTACAAAAGTGAATTGATGTTGAAGAAGATTTGTTTGAACACTTTTTAAGATTTGGTAAGCTTAATTTATACCATTTAGCAATGTCTCAATCTTTTCAGCATGCTACTAGTATAGTCGACAACGTACCTGTGAAAATAACTTAAGATGCGCCACAATCAGAATTCATATTATAGTGGGAAAAAATTAAAATACGAATAATATTTATTCCATTTGTATGCAATTCTAATTAAAGGATGATTAATTAGATTAATTCGAAAATTACTCTGACGTAAATTTATCAATAGCGAACAAATAATTTCCGTTAATTCGGGCAGTACCTGAATTATTGGGTGAAAGACTGAAAATCCTTTCATGGAAGCGTAATCTTCGAATAGACTTCCTAAAAACTAATCTTCATTAATAAAACATAACTCGCTTAAGTTCTGTATGTCAATCAATCATCTAATACATTGTAATAAAACATTTGCAGTCCGCACTATCATTAATAATACTTGACACCACGGTTGAACTGAATTGTTCTTTAGCTACTTAGTTTTTCTGAAGTTTCTGTGTGACATCTGTGCCAATCCTTTCCAGGATTTTCTTCTTTCAGTACTGACAGTTCAACAATCCATAGTCAATGAATATTTCAACATGTTGCTGTTTATCTTGCTGATGGATTTCTGCAATTCAGTTTTTTTCTTTCGTGGAGCATCAACCTACCTAGCTGATGTACTTCATTTCTGTAAGAAATTCTGCATTCGAAATAAGATCTATGTTCGGAATAGAAATGTCTAAGCAATATTTATAATGCTTTTATTCATCTCCTTTATTAAAAATTGGAAAGCTTTTAAATATTGCAAAAACTTATCTTGTCTGTAAAAATTAAAATAAAAATTTTAGATAATCTTTATTCAAATATTAAAGTCGATTTCTAAACAGGACTTTAGCATCATCAGCATTAAATATAGTCAAAAAATATTATATTTCTTTAATACGTTAGACAAATAAATAAAGGCGGGAAAGTAGATGAAAAAGGATAACACGTATATATGTTATACTCAGATCTCTAAAACTATTTGTAGTCTCGAATAAAAAACTTCTAATGGAATGCATACCGTTTCGAATAAAATTTATCAGAGAACTAAAGATCAAGGAATATAAAGACCAAGCTATTTCGAATTACGAAGGCACTCCATTGTTATCTGCCTTATCACTCTATGGATCTCAACCTAAATTGATGGTATACCACAAAGGAGGACTTTATAAGGAAAACTTGCTTTCATTCAAGTAATAGAGAAAAAGACCGAGAAACCTCCCATAGACCTAGCCCGTTTATAGGGATTTGAAACATACCACAACAATACGTGCTAAAAAATATAACATACACATTTTTAACTTCTATTTTTAAATTCAGTGAAAGATATATGTACGTATTTATACACACAATCTAAAATACTGCAGTTATATTCACAGATGTAGAAGAACGTAGCAACGTTCACATTACAGCTAAAGGTTATATATGACAACATTTCAGTTTTGATGAATTCACTTTTATAAGACACAGTTATATTTCAGTATGTGCTTATAAAAGAAAGTATACATGATTTCATATATAAATAGGAAGAGAATTATTAAAAGAAATAAGTTACAAAATAAAAACTTATAGCTACTTTTAAAATAATTAAAAATTAAAATTATTTACAATATAAGCTAGTATACAGATACAATACAATGCCAAACAGTTTGGAATACATAGCAGTTTTATGTAGTCAAATCTATTTTGTGAGGTAATGTTTCAGGATATCCAAATTTATCTAAACTCACCAAGGGCTTAACGATCTTGCATCAATATAATACTTCCAATTTAAATTAATAAAATAAAAGGCTAAATCTATAAATGTAGTTTCTAAGAATATATATTATTTTTTATTCATATGTTCTGTATTATGGTAACCTATCAAACGTTACCTGATGCTAATCTTTCTTATTCGATGCAGTATGTGAACAATTTTCCTACCAGTTTTCCTATATAAAGAGGTTTCAAAGAAAATATACCATGAAAAACCTTAATACACATTTTTGAATTACAGGTAAAAAATGTCAAATGTCTGTAAAAGGAAACGCAAGACAAATGAAAAGGTATTCCAGTTGAGATACTTATTTTAGCACAGCATTTTTAATCAAGACGTTTTTAAGATTATCAACATTCTGTCTTACGGATGAAAGAGAAGCATACCAATGTCAAGTATAATCCCATTATTGTGAAAACTATTTACGTTTGACATCAGTACTAAGTCACCAATAGCGTAAGGCATGTGAAATATATTTCAAATCGTTGTTACCACAAATAAATTGGGCGATTGGTCAGAATTACAAAAAATGGTAATTATTGACTTTCAAGCCGAGGGTTGGCAGCATTTCAGAAAATGAGCATTTTATAAAATGTTCGCGTGATGCTGTGGTGGATTTGCACGTGTATGATCAGTTGCAGAATGGATTATATAGTAAAAAAAGCGGCATGGAAATTGTGAAGCACCACGAGCCATACATGACAGGAGGATTGCAACTGCGACAGTGCCTCTGGACTAAACGACATAGTACTATAGTGGAGCAATTTGCTGCCCAGGTGACATGAGTCTATACAATTGCCTCAAAAATTTGTAATGTATCAGAAACGAAAACGGCAGTTCAGCGAACGTTACTGCGTATGGGGTTTCACATCAGAATGTGATGACAGTACTTATATTAGCGACTGCTTATAAGCGAAAGCGATTGGAATTTCCTAGTAATATCAAACGTGCACTTCTGTTGATTGATAAAAGGTTGCCTTTTCTGATGACATTGGAGAACAAACACCTGTCAACCATTTCTGGACGAATATGAGCTGGCGGATACAACTTTAGGGGAATATTTTTTGGCATTTCCTGGATACACTTATCATTGAGATTATCACTGTGGTAGCATTATGTAAGCTATAACCTCTTCTCTCCCAACACAGGGCGAAAGAAGATCCACCGTTTACTGGTGACTTTGAAGCACTGAACGTTCCTGTATGCCGGGACGTATTTTGGGATTATGCCTAACATACAAAATAATCCCTAAAAAACCTGCTTTCAATCTAAATATTTTAATTCTCGTATATGTTGCTTAAATAATGTTTCTAAGAATAAACAGAAAATCCTAATACTTAAAATAAAAATTCAGAATAAAATAAATTGCAGTATTAATTATAATGATTTTGTTCCCTATTTAATTGATTTCTGTATAATAAAAACTAAAATATTAAGAATTAAATATCACTGCTTATTATATCTTACTGCCATATTTATCCATAAAACTTTTAAGCCGCTGGCACTGCGCGAAATGTTATTAAATTATGCATGATATTATGTGCCATCAGTGACATATTAGCCCCATATCGCATTTGATGCGGTGAACCTGCGGAGGGAAGCTGAGCTGTACCATATACTACAATACACTAGGAGCTTTGAAGTTAATTCCTGCAGACCATACACATACCCCTTACGAATACTGACATATTCTTTGACGCTTATGCAAAGAATCATTCATCTAGGAATGTACGTGAAGTGTGTTCAAAATGCACAAGAAGGCATTGTTGTACCTCCTTGGTCGCCAAATTCCTCAGACTTAAATCCGATCGAAAATCTACAAACAATTCGACTGGGTGATTTTGATCTATGGATCTTTCACACGTACCCTTCTAGCAATTATCAACTGCACTACAGTCAGCATGGTTCCATGTCGCTGCAAATTTTTCGCACTGGTTTTAAACAAAATAGTGATTTCAAATTATTGAGAAATTCTATTGAAATAATATACTTTTTCTATTCGCAGACTTTTTTATTTATTGAAGAAGAAGACTTTGTGTTTCTTTTTCTCTTTAAATCTCGCACAGTTACTCAGAAAAAGCAAAGTAATTTGTGTTTGGACTAACAATATATATTAAATTTAACAATTATATTTGAGTTATGTATTTCTTGTTAAGCTTATCAGGACTTGTGTTCCTCTTGACTTGCTTTGGAAACATGAATTGTTCTGACTCGGAACAGGGAGCTTACTCAAGCTATGTTCAATAAATTGGTAGACAATACAAACAGGAAGGGTATACGAAACCCTTTATTTTTCTATCTTTACAGGTATTTCCGGAACTTCGGAATACAGAGATCAACCACTTGTGGTCTGAACGTAAGAATATAAAACTACTAACTAAAACTCCAACTAAAACTAACTTTGAATTAATATACAAGTGCCTAGCATTAGGATTGGCCGTTATTTAACAAAGTCCGTATGTAGTACGCCGAGCTCTAAAACTACGATACGTTTTGCAATTATCAAGAGGACTAAACCTCTGGCCTTGAAGGCAACCAGCAACCGAGTGAAAACTCGTAACACTATAATGGCAAGCGGCTTGCTTCCAATGACTCCTTCCTCTCCTTTGCTTGGCAAAAAGCCACAACTTAAGCACTTGGCGTTAGCAAGACAAATTTGCATAAAAAAGTTAAAGCTTCTAATTCTGGCCGGAAGTAGAAAATATGAAGTGATAGTAAAGATTTAAAATAAAATAAACGTTAGTAAAACTTAGGATCCTTACATACTTCCCGCCAGAGTTAATTAGTTTGAAACTGAGATCTAAAACGACCTTGTTGTAAACTTTTAGCTCAAGAATCTAACGCGAGGCCAATCATTTCTCACTAGAAATTATCTAAACTAGAAATTAAAAAGTCGTTTTTACATTATCAACTCCATGGACAAATAATTTTCATCTGTACTGCATCTGTAAACAGGAGTTTCTTAGTTGAATCTGGTTTCTTCCAGAGATCTGGAAGGAAAACTAGTTTAATGAAATGTTACAAGCTTAGTAATTATATTACAATATTATATTTAGCAATTTATATTGATACGAACGCTTTCCAGTTTCTAAATGTACCAACATAATGTTTAGCAATTTATAAAAATTGTTGATAAATTTGAATGCTATTAAGAGTTCAATAATTGAATTTTTTAATCCGCTTATAATTATTTTAGGCCAAATTACTTTTTTTAATCTCTTTCGTCAGAACCATCCTCCTCAGTTTGCAGAATCCGAATATTTTTAACTCTCTTAATGATTCACTGTTTAGATTCAAATTGCAGTATAAATAAACATGATCCTTTAATCATTTTAACATTTAATCCCTAATATATACTGCCTGAAAAGATAGGCGTATAATTCACAGACGCTTAAAACACCAATTTACTAAATAATATTTTATAGTACAATATATTTTTGACAAGTTATATGTGTTGCTCTATTACGCAAGAGTTAACCTTTACCGACTGCTGCAAACGCTTTGCTTTTAATAAGCAATATAATTTAGAAACATTGAGATCAACAAGTAAATATACGAAGTAAAACTGAAATCTGATGCTTTTGAATATTTTCAGTGAATGAAAACATTTCCTGCGTTTGAATTTCCTCAGTGTTGCTGAAGGACCATTTAGCAATCTATAATTTTGAAAGTTTACTCCAAAATATTTGCCTTTGTTCTCTGTTTACTTAATCTAATTTACCAGTAATGATCTGTCATTATTGTTGTCTGCTTTTTGTTTCCAGTGCGAAAAAATAACATCGCACATATTCAATGCGTAATGTGTCAGGAACAAAGAGACTTCGTAAACACTAATTAAGGTTCACGAAATTACGAAAGAAAGGGCAATTTAGCAGAAGTAATTCATACTCCACAAAGAATCAGAAAACAATAAAGCAAGCTAATTCCCAGAAAATTCAATCATGATTTAGCCAACTATAAAAAAAAATACAAAGAAATTCTTTTGTCAGTCATAAACTCCCTACGGAGCTTTTGAGGAGGAAGAATCAATGTGCGTCCTTTGTTCTGCTTGCTGACACAAACGCTACTTTCTTTTTTTTTCCTTTTTGAAACATTTCAAAATTTCTTACCCTTTATTTTAAACATTCAATGGATACCTTATATATAATTTATTGGCAGCTTGTTTATTGTCAGCAGTTGTTTGACTGTTTCAAAATTTAGGGAAGGAAAATCAAAACTTTTAACAACAACAAGATTTAAAGTCAAATAAATTTTATATTATAACTAATATCCTTAAATTATTCTAACATAATATTCAACCATGTAAACATTAACAGTTTGGAAGAGAATGGGTTATAAAATGTTAACATTATTTATAGAGCAACATAAATATCGCTATTCTTCATTTTTTAAATTTCGGAATGAAAATGTATTTATCCTGCTTCTGTTGATATTTGACGAAGCACATCTGCAACCTAGAGATATTTTTTCTAATCCAAAATTGAATAATTAACTCGTTTTATATTTGTATTTGAATTATTTCTAGAATTTCATTACATCAAAAGTAAAATTTAAAAAAATAAAAAGGTCAAATTAAATATCTTTTTTCTGCATTTCCTATATTGCAGACAGTAGCTGGAACGGACAAACATCACAACTGATTGTTTCTGGATCGGAAAAAATGGCAACTCTAAGGGCTCTGTCACCAGTCACTCTATATTTCATTCGAATTGTTGCTGAAAATGCTCTTGGTCACAGTGCGCCTAGTGAAGTGATTAATGTTACGACTTCTGAAGAAGGTAAGCAATTTTTCATTCGCTATTAGACTTTTTGTAAGTATCTAAAAGTATCTAGTAGAGAAAAATTTATTCCGTTTATTTTTAGCAATTATCCAGTAGACAGTTTTTTTAAACATTTCAGTTTCTGATTGGGAAAAGTATATGCAATTCACGTCGGCTACCATCGTTAAGACAGCCACCCAAAAGCGTATGTTTCTGAATGGTACACAATCACAATATTAGTTAAATAAGCAAACACTTTGGCTTACTTAAGAAGGAAACCTAGATCACTAAAAAGCGAAATTTTTCGTGAATGGGGACAGTTGACTTACAGAAGAATTTAAAAACTTGAATTTAAAAGAATAAGTTCTGAATAAAGCAAATTGTAGTTAAACATTGATTAACTTTTAACTAATGGAAGAATTTTTTGCAATATCTAAAATCTAATTTTAATTATGGTGATATGTTACAGAATTTGAATAGGGTTTGAGATAAATAATTCCACAGTGTTAAATAGTTTTGATATATAAATGACTGTAAAAAAGTGTAACATGACTGAATGATACTATTACATTAGTCACTAAATCATAACAGCAAATCATAACCAAATCGCCATATTTAAATCCTCCTTATAACGTGTAAGCACAAGAATATGGCCGAAAATTTGGGAACGAGAAAGACAAGGATATAAGTGAGTTTTAAATTTTTCCGAAAGTCATAACAGAAGCAAGCAAATTTATGACAAGATCATTAAATTCAAGCAGAAGCTATGCGGAATGAATGAGGTGGAAATGTGTCTTCCGTAAAACCTAGTGTCAGTACAATTATTTCATAACGTATATCCTGTATAGTTTAGAATACTCAATATAAGTAGCTGGATTTGAATTATTTGTAATGTAGCAAAGCACATACGAGCCATTTGCCTGTCACTTTCGTGGAGGATATTTTTAAGGAAACTGATTCGTATTCACGTTACACATGAACAAATCACGAAAATGTCATATCATATCCCAATGAGATAACCAAAATAATATAATAATAACAATAAGATAATAATAATAATAATAATAATAATAACAATAATAATATCAATTGTCTATCATATCACCGTTTTAATTTATTTATCCAACCATTGGTTTTAGATATGTTCATGTTACCAAATAGGCTTTAAATCAGCGATCGCCAAAGTTTAGAACTTCATGGACTACTAAAAGTATAATTTCGTATTTGGATGGTAACTAATATGAATTTAGGAAAAACAAAGTAAATGCATTTATATAATAATAATCAGAAAACGTTTATTTTATTAATATGAAACGTTTATTTTATTAATGCAGTCAGAAAGAAAAAAATCATGAAACATATAATAATCACGGGTAATTCTGAAAGTAACGCCATCGGCATCCAGTGCATTTTGCCAAGGAGTGGCTAGCTGTGCGAAGCCATCGCTGTAAATCTCAGGCCCTGGACCTGGCCTTCCAAACCACATGCGGCCTCGCATTGTCCTAGAGGTGGAGTACACCCTCACGATTGACCAATGCTGGTTCTATATGCATCAGTACCTGATGTACACGTTCCAACTACGTAATTGAACTGGTGGCTCTCAGTTATTATCAAATATCGGTTCAGTATATGTTAGATATTTTAATGTTAATATTAGTTCGAGTTGATTCAACTGTTGCGAGTACAGTCCTGCCGTGTTCGTTTGGGCCACTTTCAGGAACTCATAGGGCAGTACTTGGCGACTATACAGAACATGATCATGCGTGGGTGGAGAGAAGGTCTCGCAGTTTGAGGCACAGGGGCCCGTGGTGACAATCAATGTCTGGAACGCTTGGGTGAGTCATTTTGGACCAACGTTTCATCGCTGGTGAGTACTCAATCAAATATGGATGTATTGTAGTGCCGAGTAAGCAATGACGAAGAGGCAGCGACACGCTGTTGGTTTGCATCGGATAGTGAGCAGGATACACACTTGCTCAACTTGTATGCCTTTCATATGCGGTGCAAATGGAGTCTGATCGTTTCACCTGGAAGTGTGCAGCAAGCTTACCACATGTTTCATGTTTGGCTACTATCACTCTCTATGGCTGCTCTCAGGGCATCATCGTAAAATGCTTGTAGCTGACCGCTGCGCGATGCATCACTAAGAGACATATTCCCAGACCTGAACTTCTGGAACCATTGCCTAGCGGTTCGTTCGTTAACGGCATCATCCCAAAAGGCCGGGTAAATTCGGCGACTTGATTCTAATGCTAACAAGTCCACTTTAAAATCATATAGCAAACAACTCCGAACGAGCGCCTCTGACATGTACATTTCAATCAGTGGCTGTGAGCGTTATGTTTGAAGTTCCATGTTCATCTTTTGCCGTGATTATCAAGCAAACTGCATAATTTGTTCCGGCTGTCATGAGGGGATTGCACAAAGAACGCAGAAAGTGGAAGTCCAAGCCCTCGGTCCAAGAGGGCAGGAGCTGATGTTGAAAGGTGACCCCTTGTCACGTGAGCAGTAAGCAACATAGTATTGGTAGCGGGGTTCCCAGGAAAATTCTGCTAAAACAGCATATTTACAATTCATGTTTGAAGTACCGATGCAATGTGCTTTTATATTCTTGGACTTCCATCCTAATCATCCTAATAAGTTTAGTTCGTACGGCAGTATTTTAGAACTATACCGGCATAATCACCAGTAAAGTCCTGGTGTGTTGGCTACTTAACGCTCTCCTTTACCTTATTACTGGCCCTTCTTTCTCTTAGTTTACATTGTTAAATTTATTATTTCCTCACTCGAAGGTCCGCCAACGGCAGAGCGGTCGCTGAACACTGGTAGTTCGGTCTGAGGTTCGAATTTTGCGAATGGACTGGCTGCATGGGAGTTTTCGTGATTTTCCCATGTGTAACGTGTATATGAGCCAGTTTCTCTCTTAGAACGTCCTCCACGAAGGCATTCATCTCCTTAGGCAAATAGCCTTCGGGGCTTGCCGTAATCACATAAACCAAAGTAAACCTTATTCCTCCTTTTCTCCGAAGATCTTTCGCAGTTAGCAATTCTGATGGAAAATATGAAATGTCTATTCCTTTAACCGTTTTTCTTCATCTTATGCTATAACTGAATTTTTGGATTAAAAACATTTTAGTTGCATAAAATTAACTACGTATTGGAGGAAGTATAGTATGATTTCATTTGCAAGAGGACTCATTTCTCAGGGTAATTTACAAGAAAAAATATTTGCATATGAGATGATTCCACATGTCTGACACATATAAGACGATAATTAAATAATGCATATAATGTTGAATGATATATGTTCTGTTATATTAAAAAAATTATAAATTATATGCCTTCGATCTAGAGGGGTTTACCCTCGAAATCGATAGTTTTGACTAAACTCTGTGCCAAGCACAAGGTTATGGCTTTGCTAATGCTATGAATAGGTGTGTTTTCTTTTAATGTATAAATCTAGAAGTAAGTGGATATTTCTTGTACCACAAAAACTCTTCGAAGCATTAATGTATTCAAATCGATAGCAATTTCTGATATGAGCAGATGTTATTGCTAGTCGACAATGCATTTTTGTACAAAAAAATTAATTCATTTATAAAAAAAAATCTTTCGTATGGATTGTTTAACAAAACTCTTCAACACTTATTACTTGAACCGTCACAAATGAAAAAGGATTTTTTAAAAAGCTATTAAACATTTATTGCAAAATTTCTAATTCGACCATCTGCTTTCAAAATAAATTCCAGTAGTCACTTTATTTACAGTGCATGCATCACGATATGCAATTGGAATTCAAATTCTTAATAGAAAAATATCCTGTTATTTAAAATAAATTTGCTTTGTTTTCATCTCCTAAAAAATGTTTGCGTCTCAGTTTATCGACATTCTTGGAATTCTACTTCTTGGTGTTTATTCTTGGATCAAATTGCTATTGTGTGTTTCCCATGGGATTTAACCAAGGTTCTCAAAACTATCTGCCCTAAGTTTGAATCATGTTCTTCACTTCAGTAAATGACAGACCCGTCAAATTGTTATAAAATGAATCTAATGAATTTCTGAACTTTCCCTGTAAATAAGGTGACTCATCCTAGTTTTTTTGTGGTGACACATACCTTTTAAGTTTATAGTATATATAATATGTGTTTCTTTTTATTTTATTTAAATGATAATGTTGCATGCTTTTAATATTCCGATAGTTATACATTAATGCCATCTTACCTTTAGAAACGAAATGCATACGAAGACGCAAATATCAGAGCTTTTAGAAAAAAAATTGCTTTTCACCTCATTCTTATCTTTGTGCAATAAAGAAGTTTCAGCTTTATATGATTATTAATTAGATATTATTATTAATTATTAACAACGAAATTTAAATATATGACGATACAAATGTATGTTTAAGAGATGGCAAATGTATATATTTTTCTTAATTACGAAGGCATTAAAACTATGGGAGTATTTGTATGATTTTTCATATTTAAAAAAAACTACAATGTGAAACTCGCCTTTGAAATGCCAAATGCAGTGTGCAGTTTACAGATCCCCTTAACCAGTGCATATAAATCAGAACGATTTATATGCACAGGTTAAGGGGATAATTTATAAATGGGGAAACTCCCATTTATATATCAAAACGATTTATAAATGGTAGTTTTAGAAAATTTAGTTTTAGAAAAGCCATTGCCATAGGTTTAGGTTAACATAAGTAGCGAAATTGATAAGCAAATAACTTTTTTCAGAGTAAATATTTTCTCTTCGATAAAATTGAAAACATTGACTTTTCACAAAATATGGTCGGACATAAAATAAGAAAACTGAAAGGAATAGCTTTTAGTCTTTTATCTTCTCACTTCTTTTCAGTTTTATTGTAAACACTCCTTGTAAAATAGATGTAATGCACGAATACAACTAGGCTACACCAGTTTTCTGTTATACTCACTTTTACTAACCAATTTCGTTTTACTTTCTAGCCTTACAAAAACCTTTTCCTTGTTTTTTTATTACCAATGCTTTGT